GAGAGAGAGAGAGAGAGAGAGAGAGAGAGAGAGAGAGAGAGAGAGAGAGAGAGAGAGATGTGCGGGGGGCGGCCTGTCACTCTCGACGCCCAGTCCTCTCTCTCTCTCTCTCTTACACACACGCACAGACATTTCTGGACGTCAGGCACAACGCACACGCGTGTATTCGGACACAGGTGTAGGTTCCGGCACGTGCATCAAATGGAGGCGCACGTCACTCCCTCCCTCTCTCTCTCACACACACACAGACACAGAGGGCAAGCGTCGATGAGTCGCACGTCGAGATCGAAGTGCGTCTTCTTTCTCTCTCTCACGCACAAAGACAACGGGCGTGCATCAGTTGTGATGTCCTGTGTCTCTCTCTCACGCATATGCGCGCGCGCGCACACACACGCTCTTAACTGCTCTGCTCATTTTTACCAGAGCCCTTGAGACCTATTTTATGCAATCAATGACATGAAGTGCTGCGACGATTGATCGATTTTATGATGGATTGATAGGCAATCGTGATTCAGTCAGTGATTCTGCTCGCTGTAAGAGTGATGAGTGAACAATGGCATTCCGAACTGGGGGTTGGATTAGACGGACTGATTGATGACGTAATCGATAGATTAACCGGTTGATGGGTTAAGTGATTTTTTCATTGAACGGAGCTTCCAAGAGCGACATTTGATGAATATATGTCAAACGAGGGACAAATTGTTCCTTTCCAGCTATCCTGAGTTCATGCGTAGGCGAAACTCTGTGAACCCTCCTGGAGCATACTGAATCAATGATACATTCAATCGCTGAAATTTGAACCAGTGGACCTATAGAAGATCTGAACCAGAAGATTGAATGTAAAAGCAGTGTAACCCTCAATCGCCTTGGTCTGCTGTCTCTCCCAATATCTTCCTCTCGGCGAAACTCTGTGAACCCTTCTACCGGTAGTGCATACTGAATTGATGATATATTCCATCGCTCAAAATTGAATTAGTGGACCTTGAAGATCCGGACAAGATGACATCATCTCCATGTAAAAGCAGTGTAAACCTTAGTCGCCTTGATCTGCTGTCTCTCCCAATACCTTCCTCTCCCACCCCTTCTGCCTGCCCCAAACCCCAAACCCAAAGCCCAAAGCCCCAAACCCAAAACCCAAAACCCAAAACCCAAAGCCCAAAGCCCAAAACCCAAAACCCAAAACCCGAAACCCAAAACCCAAAACCCAAAACCCAAAACCCAAAACCCAAAACCCAAAACGCAAAACGCAAAACCCAAAACCTAAAACCCAAAACCCGAAACCCAAAACCCAAAACCCAAAACCCAAAACCCGAAACCCTCGAAGCTCCAGACAGTTTTCAACCACTTTACACATAAACAGCTCCCCTTCCCCCCCATTTCCCGTCCCTTGCCTTTCTCCCTGCGCCCAGACTTTCCCGCCAAAAAAGGAAAATAGACACCTGTAAATCTCCTTCTTTCCAAAGCCCACCTGTCTTCTCTAAGGCCCCTAAAGTTTACGTAGCATTGTTCTCATAAACACCGTCTTCCCCTCCCTCTTCTCTTACACGAGCCCACAAATAGGATCCTCTCTGAACTCCTAATGATCACCCCGACCTCTAAAACCTAAACCCTAAACCCTCGGAGATTGTACAAACTTATGAACAGCTGCCCCCCTCCCTCTCCCTTCTCCATCACCCCGTTCCCCCCTCCTCCCCACTTCCCCCACTTCCCCCCCACGATCCCCACCTCTGTCCCCCGATCCCTCTCCGA